GCCTTTGGAGCAGCCAAAACAGTGTTTTGGAGCAGAAAAAGTGGCCTTTGGAGCAGCCAAAACAGTGTTTTGGAGCAGAAAAAGTGGCCTTTGGAGCAGCCAAAACAGTGTTTTGGAGCAGAAAAAGTGGCCTTTGGAGCAGCCAAAACAGTGTTTTGGAGCAGAAAAAGTGGCCTTTGGAGCAGCCAAAACAGTGTTTTGGAGCAGAAAAAGTGGCCTTTGGAGCAGCCAAAACAGTGTTTTGGAGCAGAAAAAGTGGCCTTTGGAGCAGCCAAAACAGTGTTTTGGAGCAGAAAAAGTGGCCTTTGGAGCAGCCAAAACAGTGTTTTGGAGCAGAAAAAGTGGCCTTTGGAGCAGCCAAAACAGTGTTTTGGAGCAGAAAAAGTGGCCTTTGGAGCAGCCAAAACAGTGTTTTGGAGCAGAAAAAGTGGCCTTTGGAGCAGCCAAAACAGTGTTTTGGAGCAGCAAAAGTAGCTTTTAAAGCAGATATTCTAATGAAAATAAAAATATTTGTTTTAAATGCTGGACACGCGAAGGGAATCTTGCTCGCCGAAATAAACCAATTTTGGTCAAGTTCGGCCACCTGGGAGTCTTTCAAGATGTAACTGAAATGCCAACGACATGACACATTTCTTTTTGCTTTTCGAAACACAGTGATGTGATTGGCCTAAGACTTTTTGGAGCACCTTTTGGAGCAGCCAAAACAGTGTTTTGGAGCAGCAAATGTGGCTTTTGGAGCAGCCAAAGCAGTGTTTTGGAGCAGAAAAAGTGACTTTTGGAGCATATATCTTAAAAAAATAAAAATTTGTTTTAAGTGCTGGACAAACGGAGGACACTTTGTATTGTGTTGTGATGTGACGTGTTGGGGCGGAACTCGCTGCTTGTGTTTTTGCTGCTGAGACATCCCACAAGTATACAGTGCTGTAGACGTTGCCGAGCAATTCCGAAAAAAAAACAAAAAAACTTGCTATCGTTTTACTGGTTCCCGACGTGGGAGCTTTTTATAAAAAGTAAGCAAACGTAAAACAATAAATGGCAAGCGTCCAGGCTGGTGCCTCTCGTGCAATCATGTTCACATGCACGTGGGGGCAACTTCGGCAGGCTTGCAGTTACACGTGCTTCGTCACACGAGCGGAGACAACGGCTGTTCGACCGAAACCGAAACCATGCCACTCTGCTCCGTCAGCAACTGTTTCCCAAAATTGTATGCAAAATGTAACTGTCCAGCATACGACAATAAACAGTCCAGCGGAGCGTGCTTGCCAGGCTGACAGGCGAAGTGCAGGCTAAAACACACAGAAAAAAAGAACCTGAGCGTATGGATGCAAGACATAGTGAATCAGGGTTAAAAAGTTCTTGGAGCGCCTAGTGCAACGACTGAACTCGAGACGAACAAGCGCGGTGTGCAGGTTCAGCGTGCAGGCATTGCCTTCTTTGCTTTAGCTCACTTCTCGTCATCAACTTTCTTGCGCGGCAGATTGTTCACGTACCGGGGTCCCTCTCGAAAGAAAGCCCACCGAGAGAAACCTGAGTAATCAAAACTTCGCCAAGCAGTCATTAAGTTAAAGAGGGATTTTTATAGCAGCGTATGATTAAAACAAGAGCAGGAATGTCAATGCGTTTCAGTTTAGAAAGCGCCATATCTGCAGCGACGTGGGAACGGCAACACACGACGTCGCGGGACCACGGCAACTGTGGTCGCGCGAGCGCTTCAGTTCACAAAGTAACTCTCGCCGCGCAAAAACGTGGTTTTGTTTCACAGCATGACGACGGCACAGCTGGCACCCGGCACACTAACGTCGGAGCGTCCGCACACGGCCGCGTCTATCGCTAAAAAAATTTAACAAAAATAAAAAAATAAAAAAAAAAGACGCGAGTCAAGATTTCCGAGACGACAACAGCGCGAAACGTGAGACGGTGGGAAAAATCATGCAAGACCGCATAGACGATTGATGCAGGGTACTTTGTGTCGGGCGGCGCCTTGTGCCACCTAGCTCACGCATGCTCAATTACGGTTTTCAGTTTAGTTTCGTTTTTGAAAGGCGACCAAAATTGGTCCTTTGGCGCAGGCTTGGCGCAGATTAGTGATATTTTGGCGAAATGTAGCAGGATGTAGCAGGGTTAGCCCCTTGGCGCAGTTTGGCGCAATTGGCGCAGCAATCACATCACTGGAAACATTCTGCAAGGCTGGAGCAAGCTTTGCTTTAGCTTAGGGTAGTAATGAATGTCCAATTTCAATGTCTCCAAAGAGACATTGCGACGTCTTACAAGTGTACAGTGCTGTAGGCGTTGCCAAGCAATTCCGAAAAACCGGTTGCCACCGTTTTACTGATTGCCGACGTGCCAGATTTTCGTCAAAAGTAATTAAATGTAAAACAATGAATTGCAAGCGTCCCGGCTGGTGCCTCTGTCGTGCAATTATGATCGCATCGTTGGTTGGCATGCACGTGAGGGCAACTCCGGCAGGCTTGCAGGTGCACGTGCTTCGTCGCGCAAGCGAAACGGCTGGTCGATCGAAACCGAAACCACGCCTCTCCGCTCCGTCGCCAACTGGTTGCCAAAAGTCTATGCAAAATGTAACTGCCCAGCATGCGACAAAAAAGAGTCCAGCGTCGCGTGCTTGCAAGGCCGGCAGGCAAGGTACGAGCTAAACACAGAAAAAAAGAACCTGAGCGCATTGATGCAAGACATCGCGAGCCAGGGTCGCTTTGTGCAACGACTGAACTCGAGACAAACGAGCGCGCTCTGCGGGTTCAGCGTGCAGACATTCCCTGCTTTGCTTTAGCTCACTTCAACTTTTCTTCGCGACACATTTTTCACGTACCGGGGTCCCTCTCGAAAGAAAGCCCACAAAGAGAAACCTAGGTAATCAATACTTCGACACAGCAGTCTTTGAGTTAGAGAGGGATTTTTGTAGCAGCGTATGTTTTAAACAAGAACATGAATGTTGATGAACATGCGGCGGTCCTTATGTGTCAGTTTAGGAAGCTCCATATCTGCAACGTCGTATGGCCGTTGATTTCAGGAGTGAGAGCTTCATTCAGCTCAAAAAGTAACTCCCGCCGCGCCGAAACATAGTTTTGTTTCACAGCGTCACGTCATGGCTGGTACCCAGCACGCTAGCGTCGCAGCACACACACACACGCCGGCATCTATCGTTAAAAAAAAAAAAATGAAAAAAAAAAAGTGAAAGCTGTTTACAACTCTCTGTAACACCAAATTAGAGCGCAGCTCTTGAGGAGGAGGAGGGAAGGGTACTGGGGGGGATGAAGTGACCTGGGGGGGTCACGTGACCAGGGGGGGGTCACGTGACCTGGGGGGGGGGTCACGTGACCTTGGGGGGTCATGTGACGATGCCGATGATGTCATCAATGACGTCACTGATGACGTCATCAGTGACGATGAATGTGCGGACTCCGATGACGTCATCAGCGATGATGACGATGACGATGCGGATGTCGGTGCCGTCACTGATGACGTCATCCGTGATGATGACGATGACGATGCGGATGCCGGTGACGTCATCAGTAATGATGACGATGCGGAAGCCGGTGAGGTCCTCAGTGACGTCACTGATGACGTCATCAGTGACGATGACGATGCGGATGCCGGTGACGTCATCAGTGACGATGACGTCATCGGGGAGGTCACGTGACCTCGGCGGGAGGGGTCACGTGACCCTGGAGGGTGGTCACGTGACCTCGGGGGGTGTCACGTGACCTCGGGAGGGGGGGGGGGGTCACGTGACCTCGGGGGGAGGGGTTGACATGACCCTGAGGGGGTCACGTGACCTTGTGGTGATCTTGGGGGTCACGTGACCTTGGGGTGACCTTGGTTACGCCGACGGCGACAGCGATGGCGACGCCGCTCAAGCTGGGAACAAGCCCCTAAGAGCTGCGCTCTAAAAAAAAAAAATGCGAGACGAGACTTACGCTTACGAGACGACGAGAGCGTGAAAGAAGAGACAGCATGGCGGAAAAAACCATGCAAAAAACCATGGGCGATTGATGCAGGGTATTTTGTGTCGGGCGGCCGTTTGCGCCGCCTAGCTCATGCATGTTCAGTTACGGTACTTAGTTTAGTTTCGGTTTTGAAAGGCGACCAAAATTGGCCCTTTGGCGCAGGCTTAGCGCAGATTACCCATATTTTGGCAAAATGTAGCAGGATGTAGCAGGGTTAGCCCCTTGGCGCAGTTTGGCGCAAATGGCGCAGCCATCACATCACTGTGCTTGGTGAGTGGCGTCACCACAGACTTCAGCCACGTGGGAGCCAAGAATGATTACAGTTGAGCCACGGACGCGCTTGCTCGGAAGCGCGCGTGGCAATATCTGCTTACAGTATACTCCTTTTACAACAGACCGAAATCTTGGTCACTATCAGGGTCTGCTATAACCAATTCAGACTGCACAAGTCTGCTTTAAAAGAAAATAAGGTATTTTCCGGGCTATAGTTTGCAGACTATACGCATTTAAAATTTTCAATTTTACTCAGTGCAAACTATTTACGGGTCTAGGCTATACAAGAATTTGTTTCTCAAGATCGTTCACTGCGACGACACGTCGTGGATTTTGTGAATGACAGGTTATGTTAATGATGATTTCTGTATGATACGAGCCACTTTATGCGCCAGTAAAGCAGACAATTTTTAAGTTGTACCGCATATGAGAATTTGATGCGCAAACTATACCAAATATGTGGGCTCGTGCACCTGGCGCAGGCTATCCCAAAGAAAAAACTATGTTCTCAGCCAAACTTGCTTCAGCAGACAATACGCCAGTTATGGACTATGGTCCGGGAAATAAGGTATCACAATCTTAAAAGCTGTTATCTCGTCTATCATTTCTTCTAATATTTTTTTTTCTTTTCTTACTCCTATATTGATGTGTGCTACTTGTAAGAACAAAGTTTACTGGGGCGAAAACTGCCGGAGTTCCCAGACCAGTACATCTAAGATGTAATGCTGCAAATGCGACGCCCTCCCATGCAAACGGAGATCCCACCTGCGAGCAGGGCCACCTTGGGGAAGGCCGGCCGCAGCTTGAGCAGCAGCACTCCCAGGAAGCTATCCGTGCCCACCGCACACGGGTCCCAGGACCCCTGGTCGTACACCACCACCGTGGGCGCGCCAGAACCCCAGTCCCCGCAGGCGTGCTGCAGCAGCTCTCGCACCCCCACCTGGGGGGACGTGAACAGACACCAATGAGCGCCCAAAAGTATGCTGCCTGCAACGCGTCTTCACTGCGTCCTCGAATGCGCTCTCTCGATAGTTGTCGCACGTGTGTCGCGCTGCCGCACGCAAAAATCGCGTTGAGTAAGGAGGATCGATGAAGTCGGAAATCGGCCAAACGGCGCGTGTCGTGCGTGCACCTTTCCTTTGTTTTTTCCTCTCGAGTGTTGCTGGATTTCATCGAGCTCGCGTTATGAGCGAAGAAAACATTGCCTGTCTGCGTTCCACCCTTTCTAGCCACAAATATTGATTACCAGCTGAAAGTGCATTTTTACACTGCTCTTCTCAATAGAACAAGTGCCGCACTTCCCCAATTTTAACACTTGCCCTTCTTGATAAAACTATAGTATCCAAAAACTGCAATCGCGTTTGAATCGAACACAAAAATGAAATCGGAGACACGTTAGAATCATTTTTCTTGGGTGGGCGCGCATTAGAATACTAGACGCTTCAGAATCGGATAAGTATGGTATGCATGTCTAGTTGTCTGCATCTGGTTCTGCAACCTAATAATGGTGCCTCATACGACTAACAACTGCGTGCAACAGCAACACTGACATTTCAAAATCTCCCTTAAAATAAAAAGGCAACGTGAGCCAAGCATCATGAAGACCAGCGCTCCAAGGGACGGGACAAAAGGAAGGAACACATTCTTTTATTAGGTTCAACGATTACAAACAAACCCAACATACCACCTTGCTGCAACGGGAATTCTACACTTTAAAAAAAAGCTAAATGGGGTACTTTGGTGGTTTTATAGCTACCCAAACAAATTATTTTTAAATACCCAGATTTTACCTTTCTTGGCATGCCATTTGGTATTTCTAAATTCAGAATAGCTACTGAGAGATGGGCAAATGAAGGTGATGGCAAAATCAAGGTTCAAATTTTCCTGCACTTTCCTGTGGAATGGAAAACTTGCAGGTCGAGAAGGCAGTCCCAAAAAGAAAGTGTGAGCCACAGTCTCTTGTGCTGCTGAGTGAATGCTTGGAGTGAGCTTCCACAGCACTCATTTCACACAAACAAACTTCTTGGAATCCTTTCAAAACAAGTTTTACTTCCCAAACCTGCACCCACATAGTATGTATATTTTCACTTTTTCAGTGCTGTCAGTAGAAACTAAAAAAGGAAATTCAAAACCTATATAACTTCATGGTGAGGCATTATTTTGACCCATCATCCAAACTAATAGGTAGTTCAGTCGTGCCTAATGGTGTGTCGAACCAATATTGAAGCAAATGAGCGACCATACAAAATTATTCCTACGAGATAAATGTAGAAAACTTCAAACTCCCCACAAATTCTAGTGCAATATTTAGAAATCATGAGACTTATTTTGGGCACCACGACACGCTTCTATTTTAGGACAATGTGACAATATCAAAGCATGTTTCAGAAGCGCTCCTCACCAAAACTGAGTCTCATAACGTAAATACATTGCAATAAATTTGCTTTTGTCGCTTTTGAGGCAAAGCTTATCTTGTGGAACACGTCTTCAGTCCAGGCCCTCCAAAACTATTTTTTGAGAAGTTCAGCGTCCCTAGGAGCCACTCCAAAACATTCTTCTGTCTTGGGTTAGCATGTTAACATCAGAATTGCTCCCAACTCAAAACATGTCTCGGTTAATGCCCCCACTGCACTAGAAAAACGTTTTTTTTGCAGAAAGTTCCCTTTGTGACAGACGTCATATGGAGGCACCAAACAAATTTCTTGGGGGAAGCGAGGGGCCCCACCTTGTCCTGCTGCAGCCGGCGCTTGACAATCTTGGAGCAGCAAATGTTCACCGCACCCACAATGTGGCACGTGTTGAACTCCAGGAAGGGCCGGCTGTCAATCACCAGCAGCTGGGGCACAGAGAAGAGGGCGCTCACTTAAAAGGGGCACCAGCCTTTCATGGCCCGTCCACACACACAACACAGCACAGACTTAGTAGTGCTGTAGACAAAGTGCTGACTTTGCACCATATCACCTCTGTATCGCCCCTATATCAGCTCTACATCGGCTCTACATCACCTTTGCATCAGCTCCGTATCAGCTCAGTATCAGCCCTGTATCAGCTCCACGTCAGCCTTGCATGAGCTCTGTATCAGTTCTGTACCAAGTCTGTATCAGCTCTGTATCAGCCCTGTATCAGCTCCACATCAGCCTTGCATGAGCTCTGTATCAGTTCTGTACCAACTCTGTATCAGCTCTGTATCAGCCCTGTATCAGCCCTGTATTAACTCTGCATCAGTGCTCCCTCTTTCGCTGTTCAGCGGCACAATGCACAACTAACTCAGTGCTGAGCCAGTGGTGACACTAGAACTAATGCATCGCTGACTTGACACTTTGTAAGTGCTACCTTTATTCTTACCTTTAGGCCTGTTTAGGATGGGTCAATTTTCTGAGCAATTTGTGGCTTGTTGGAAACTCCTTCTCTAGAGCCTCACGCTGCAATATCAATTGCTTGGATTGTATCCAGATCAAAACGTTTCAGCAACTCAAACAACTCACAAATGTTTAAAGTGGCAGCAACCAATCAGGGGGCACAAAGGCTTGATCTGACCCCCTTATGATAGTGATGATGATAACTGAACACAAGGTTTAACCTGGTGATGGTTTGCAATGAATCGTTTTTATAGCAAAATGGTTTCACAAAGATCACTTGGCATTTTCATCGCTTTTTAAAGGGGTACTCCACCGATTTTTTGAGCTACCTCAACTAACTATATTTTCTGACTCCCCAACCTTTAGCCTTTCCGGTATGCTATTTAGCATCGCGAAATTCATAATAGGTATTGTGAAATCGGCAAATGAAAATGGTTCAAAAACCAATATTCAAATATTCGCACACTTTTCAGTGCCGTGACGTCAGTGGCAGGCAGGTTTGCCAGTCGAGCAAGCAGTCTAAAAATAGTATATGCCAATCATTTGTTCCGTGCTGAAGCGCGGATACAGGAGCGAGCTTCCAAAGCACTCATTTGACACCAAGAAACTGCATCAAATCCGTTGGGAACAACTTCTGTAGTCCAAAAAGTTAACCCCTGCCTTCCACTGACGTCACTTTGTTGTTGTTGCCAGTAGAGACATTCAGTTTGAAAAACATGGTGAAGACCAAAACTGTAAATTCAATAACTTCGCGAAAAAACAATATTTTGACCTAATATTTGGGATACTATTTTAGCAATGTTTGTTGGTTAGTTCAGCGAAATTTCAAGCAAATCGGAGACAATGAGAAAACCGGTGGAGTACCCCTTTAAAGATATAAAAACACATTATTAATGCATTACTTAGAGGGTAATTAGTGCAACAAGATTGCAATTTTACTGGTAATGATGACAAAAAGTAGCAACCCAAGTTTTAGCGCGAGGTACATGTTTCTACTGTTGCAATGCCAGACTGGGAAAAACCAGGATGTCTGAAGCGGGCCTTGGGGAGACAAAGGTAAAAAGGACCCCCATCATTGCATCCCACAGCTCAACCAGAAAGGAGGGTTTTGGTGAAGAGCTTTCGCCTAAATGATGCAATCTCTATTGGCCACCAGGAGATAATTGCGGACAATTTTAGTGTATTGGTTTAACAGACGAAGAAGAAAACAAAGACGAAATACAAGATAGAGTTCAGCGATGTGTGTGTTTGTACTAAACACTAGTGTGCGTGTTATTTGTGCACTGTGAAGTCAATAATATGTTCGACCAAATCACTCAGGCAGCAGTTTTCATTAGCTACTGTGCCTCCCGCTCATTAGGCAGCTGCAGCACTCACTACATTTCATTGCATGCTGACTTTTTTTAGGCTTAACACATTTGCTTTAGCAAAGCCCTCAAAGCTACACTAATATGGTTTGTGCAGGTAAGTCACATGGCCAGGGGGACATAATATAGAGATATATCCTTCACGATAAATGGGATAATTAACTGTCTTATAATTACGGACAATAAAGACATAGTTCCAATCAGGCACATTGTAGAAGTCACCAAAAAATCTTTAACTAAACAAATTTCAAACAGATTCGGGGCGTGTGGGGAAACCCAGTTGCACGCTAAGGTTACCACCCATGCAACAGGCACAAGGCTAGCGGTGAGAAAACGCAAATAATAAGAGACAGAAAAACTGTACAGCCGCATTATCGCACCGGTAGCCTTGCTCCTCCCAAATTGATTGAGTGGTTTCCAATGATGCCCATCCAATTTCTGGTTAAAACATGTTGATTTTGCACTAAGTACAAACTTAATGAACATGTCTTATTTAGTTAGTCAACTTATCATGACGATTAGCCCCCTATATTCTGTCCCCCTGGCCAGATAACTAACCTGCACAGACTCCACTAGAGTACCTTTCATGGATTTTTTTAAACAAATCTGTAAAGCCTAATAAAAGAAACACACCATATGAAATAACAAGAAAAAACTTGGGGAACTGTTAAACTTCTCCTTTAAGAATGGAAAGCGATAGCGTTATTGGGTCCCGGTAGCCAAATCCTTCTCATATAAACGCAGGCTTGTTGCCAAGCCATGCAAGCGTGTGTGCGTGGCCGCCGGTAGCGTCACGTGTCACGTGACGTCACATGTGGCTGTGACGTCATGACCCTAACCCGCTAAATTTTCCGGGAAAAGTTTTTGCTATATTTTGCGGGAAAATTTTCCTCTCAATTTGTCGGGAAAATTTTCTGCTATACTTCGTTTCAGCCTCCATCCGAACGCAGCCAAAGCTACGTGTGGCCGGAGCCAATCACACGCCGGCAAGAGGTCACGCGATCTTGCCTGCACTTTTGTATCACTCCGCTGCGTCGCTGGTCGTCCGCGCCGCCCGCGCTCGCCGAGTATTTCGTCTGCTACGGGTGTATCAATGGTATCGTCTCCTACAGGTTTAGAAGTGCCCTTTTACGTTCTGAAATTTTGTCACAGGGGATGTCAGTGTACGTAGGTTGGCCGCTGGCGTCTGTGTCCGAGTTTTCCACCATTTCGGCATAGTTTCGAGATGTAAGTATACATTGCAAGGCGCTCAATGACCCGGCCGTTGATGTTTCCTTGTGTAGTCTCGATATACCAGGGCTCGAGGCGCAGTCCTTTCCACCAGCTTCTCGCCGTTCAATGTGATTGGCAGGTAAAGGGGTGCCCTGACTTCGCCGCGTATCAGCGAATTGTAGTGGCCCCGACGCTTCTCTTGTTTTTAACGCATTTGCAGTACGACACGGCTGCAGTCTCCTGACGAATTTGAAAGTAGACATTCATCCCGATCTCTCGCATCTGACGCCCAAATGTGCCTTTGCGAAAGGACGTTTTGAAGCGACTCGGTGAGGAAAGCAGCAGAGCACATGATTCGGCCATTACGGGAACGAAATCACACAGAAAAACCGAGCGCTGCAGCTGTGTTGCCAGCGGATGTACGTGTTTTCACCAAACCACAAGCATTTACATATATTAATAAAAACATAAACTTCAGATATTTAATTCCTTTAGTTGCAAATCATTCTCAGCAGTACATATCCGGAATATTGTGCAACGTTTACGCACAAAACAGTTATTTAAAAAAAAATTACTTTTGCAGACTACTTTGTGGTGTGTAGGAATGCTCTTCTCGAAGTTGCGAACTGTCCCTCAGCCTTTGGCTGTGTTCGGGCGGAAGCTGAAACTAGTAGATCTGGCAGAAAAATTTTACGCTAAATTTGGCGGGAAAAGTTGCCGGTAAATTTGTTGGAGAAATTTTCTGCTAAATTTGTCGGGAACTTCTCCCGTCCAATTTATTGGGTAAAACCCATAACGCAATGGCGCACAGCCACGTGTGACATCATGTGTGACACACGTGACTGCGCACGTTGCATTATGGGATGTTTTGGTCCTACCGATGCCAGCGCCATCGCCGGATTTTCTGTGACACAAACTCATAACCGCATCTACACAAACGTTTTTAAAGCTTTTGTGTAGCAGTATATAGTCCCTGGCATACTTTCGGTGTTATTTATTTATTTGAAAATACTGCCAGTCCCAAGAGAGACTTTAACAGGAAAGAGAACAATACAAAAAAAGATTTATGCATCATAATTGGCACTTTAAGGTCACAAACAAACACATAGACGCTATTGAACAGCGCCTAAAAAAGAAACAAAATCTGAATTCATATCTATAAAAAGACATTCCATAAGAAAACTTAGCAGGCCAGCCCTGGTTATACAATGGAAAACAAAAAAAATAGGTAATCTTACATCACTCATCTCTATGTGACAAAGCATCTAGATGTGTTAGAAATTGGGTTATTGTAGCACTGCTAGCGACGGAATGATTAATTTCGTTCCATTTTCTGATGACTAAAGAAAAAAGAAAAAGTACCGAAAACAGTCGTTTTTAAGGAAATATTCAGACAGGGTTGTACTGTGCTTATGCCTGGTTGCACTAGTATTACCAAATGAAACACACTTGGATTTATACATTTTAAAGGCATTTTGAAAAAGGAAACAATAATTTTAGCCTCAGCTGATTAGCTCTGCCAGCTAAGGTCCAAAGACCCACTTCTTAAGGAGTTTAGTTGGTTAGTCCGTGCACATGTATTTATTGTGTATAAATCTAATTGCCCTACATTCTATTTTCTCCAGTTTAGATATGTTACCTTCAGTGTGAAAGGAGCAAACAATATTGGCGTATTCTCAAAATTTGAAAACAATCACGAGAAAATAGGGGATGGGCACATGTGAAGTCATCAATTTTACATATATACAGGGTGTTTTTCTTTTTATATTAGATTTGTTTAAAAAAGCCACGAAAGGCACACTTCTGCGGTTTGTGCGAGTGAGTTGTATGGCCAGGGGAACATTATGTAGGCGGCTAATCTTTGCGATAAGTTGGCTAACTAATTAAAATTCGTTAAC